GGAAGATGTCCCTGCTCATGGCAGGGGGGTTGGAACTAGATGATCTAGAAGGTCCTTTCCAACCCAAACCATTCTGTGGTTCTAAGACTGAGCTGCCAAAGCAGCCTCCTGCTCTGGGTGCACCACCAGCCCGAGGGGAAGGATGTCCCTTCCCCTTCGCTTGGCCCATCCATGGTCCCTCACAGAGGACTCCAGAGCTAGGATCTCCCCAGAGCTACTCCCCAAAATGTGACCTTAAACCGCCCCCAAGGCTCTTCCCAGATGTCTCCCACCTCCACACTCTCCTCCCCTGTTTTTTCCCGGTGTTGCCTTGGCTGATCCGCCCCTGCAGAATAATCCAGGGACTGAACCCTCAAACGCTTTTGCAGGACCTGATGGCAGACCTGAAATCCGAGCTGTCGGGCAGCCTGGCCAAGCTGATCCTGGGGCTCATGCTGACGCCGGCGCAGTACGATGCCAAGCAGCTGCGGAAGGCCGTGGAGGTAACGGCCGCGCTGGTGGCATTGGCTGCAGCACGTGAGGACGAGGTGGTTTTCGCTGTGGTTGTACCCGCACTGCCAGGGGCCCAGGGCTGTGAGCGCACCCCGGGTTTGCACACCCCCAGGCTCTCATCTCCTATATGGAAGGAAAGCAGAGTAGACAACACCAGGATAAAGACCTGATTTGCACTCAAGACCTGCTGGGAGCCCAGTCTGGTCTCTTTGCAGCTCAGCACGTTCTAGCCAGCTTGTACACAGAGCCTTTAAGGGGTTTTTCTGGCTGCTTTACGGAGCATCCCGACGTTGCAGTGGGAGCAGTGCCCTGCCAGGCACAGGCAGTCACAGGAGAGCCAGCGTAGGGGCAAACCAGTGGCATGCACCACTGTCCACCAGTCACACCGGTTGGGACCCCACTAGCAGCATGCTTGGACACTTCTGTGCTGGTTCTGACCAGCCTTTGAGGCCATTTGCTGGACATGGACTTTTGGCACGTGGTAGCCCCGGGATTAGAGCAGCTCCTTGCCTGGCACTGGTGGGGAGATGCTGCCGTGTCCCCGGCCAGCGCTGGCACCCGCAGCACCTTGCCATGCCGCTCTCTTCCAGGGGGCCGGCACAGACGAGAGCGTCCTCATCGAAATCATGGCCACGCGGAACAACAAGGAGATCGCAGCTATCAACGAGGCGTACCAGGAAGGTACGGCACGGGAGGGGCACAGGGAGCGCCCGGGTCCTGGGCTCGGGCCTGGTTTAACGCTGCACGAGGCCCTTGCCAGAGCCTGGGGCACAACTGTTATCTCTGGGCTGGGTCTGCAGCTTGGCGCTGTGGATGTCTATCAGTCCTTCCAGGCAAGGGCAGCTCTTCCCCAGGTCCAACACCTTATCAAAGAGCAGTGGAAACATGGGATGAGGCTGGCAGGAGTCCTCAAATCCATCCTGTGATTTCTCACACCTCCAGACCATACGCTTCTCCTTCCCTTCCATCCATGCCCCCTTCTCCCTAGGGAACAAGAGCTGCAAGATCCAGGTTAAATCCCCAGCCTCTTCTCTCCCAGAGAGCCCATGGTTTTAAACAGATGGCTCTGTGGCTGGTCCTGGCCTCTCTCCACATCACGGTGACATGTCCCAGCTCTGCCACTGATGTGTCCTCACCGAGAGCTCTTTTGCAATGACCCCTCTCCCTCGGGAGCACCTGGAGCAAGAAGCTGTGCTCACACCCAGGGCATTAGAGCTGCTGGGCTGATCCCCAGGCCTGAAAATAGCAGGTGGAGGCATCTGCTTCAGCAATGCAAAGGCTGGAAGATGGCCACCACCATGCGTGGGCCCCATGGCATCACAGGCAGGACAGGCGCTGGTGGGTGGGAAGCAGAGCTGCAGGTGGGGTGCAAGGCTCAGCCGTCCCCCTTCTCCGCAGCCTACCACAAGCGCCTGGAAGACGACCTGAGCTCTGACACATCAGGGCATTTCAAGAGGATTCTCGTCTCCCTGGCTCTGGTAAGAGCGGCTGTCTCGCTGAGGATTGTCCCCTCCCTGGTGGGGGTCTGCGAGGATGTGGCTGTGGAGGAGACATCACCGCTCAGCTGGGCAGCGCTGCGGGAGCCTGTCTGCCATCCCCTTCCCTGGGGCTTTGCCGGGAGATGTCCTCTCCCCAGCTCCGTGATTTTTGTATTGACCCACAGGGCAACCGTGACGAAGGACCAGAGAACCTCACACAGGCGCATGAAGATGCCAAGGTAAGAACCATACCGGCAGCACTGCCACAGGCTCTGCATAAAAAAAAATGAGGATATGGCATCCTCTGCTCTGGAAACAGCATCCTCAGGGAAGCAAATGCTACTGGGGCAGGGTGTCTGTGAGCTGCAGGGGGAGATGCCAGGTGAAGTGACATCCTCGGAGGTAAAGCTCCCAGGCCTGATTTCTTCTGCCCTGGGCTCTGCTGCCCCACACACGGGGAAGCTGCAAACCATGAGAGCAGCCCCAGGGCTCAGCCCCGGGGAGCTCCCAGCTGGGGGCTGCAGCATTTCTTGTGCAGAGCTGCCACGCTGGGGACCGGCAACACACAGTGATGCTGAAATTTGGCACTGGAGCTTCTAAGGCAGCTTTGGGCTGGTCTGGAGGAGCCACCCAGCTCTGCGTTGCGCACGGGGCAGCCCTGAAGCCTGAGCTGCTTTGCACACAGCCAGTGCGCCGGGATGCCTGCCACAGCCCTCAAACCATTGAATCTCAGAATCCCAGCATGGCAGGGGTTGGAAGAGACCTCTGTGGGTCACCCAGTCCAACCCCCTGCCCAAGCAGGGTCACCCAGAGCAGGCTGCACAGGACCTTGTCCAGGCGGGGTTTGAATATCTCCAGAGAAGGAGACTCCACAACCTCCCTGGGCAGCCTGGGCCAGGGCTCTGTCACCCTCAGAGGGAAGAAGTTCTTCCTCATGTTCAGCTGGAACTTCCTGTGCTTCAGTTTGTGCCCGTTGCCCCTTGTCCTGTCGCTGGGCACCACTGAAAAGAGTCTGGCCCCGTCCTCCTGACACCCACCCTGCAGATATTTATAAAATCCATTCTCAGCCTCCTCTTCTTCAGGCTGAACAAGCCCAGCTCCCTCCGCCATTCCTCGTAGGAGAGATGCCTCATCTTTACTGGGCTGTGGTGAGCCAGGAACGGAGGGGGAAGGCTGAGCAGCCAGAGCAGCGCGGGGGATTGCTGGGGTCCTGTCAGGAGACCCCTGACCCTCAGGCTGTGCACCCCGGCCTCCTGTTCCTTTGGGCGAAGCCTTTTCTGAAAGCGGATGGGAAGCTCTGTGCAGGGCCAAACCCGAGCCCTCGCTCGGCCGCCCGCTCGCTCCAGCGCATGCCGGCAGCTCGCAGCCGTGCAGCT